AGTTTGATTCATTCATGATAGAGCATGGTTATGGTAAAATTACTTTTAATCATTGTGTGTTTATAAAGAAATTCGATAATGTTATCCTCTTGTTATATATGGATGATATGTTGATTATGATCCTATAAAGATTCAAAGTTTGAAGAGAGAGTTGAGCAAGTCTTCTACAGTAAAAAATTTGAGATTCGAAATAGATTCTTGACATGTCACTTGTGATAGGAAGAATAGAAAACTATGACCACCTCAAGAGAGATATGTTCAAAAAGTACTTAAAAAAATCAACATAAACAAATCAAAACTTGTTTGTTCTCTAATTAAAAGTCACTAAAACTAAGTTCTAAATAATTTCTTTCAAGTGATAAAGAAAGAAATGAGATGACGAAGGTTCATTCATGTTCTAAACAACTTGTTAGTAGTTTGAAGGATGATATGATTTGCATAAGGTTGAATATAGCTCATGTAATTAGCATGTGAGTTGGTTCCTCTCTAATTTTGGTAAAAAATAGTAGTGAACGAGTGAAATGAATAATCAATTATATAGACATACTTTTAGTTACAACTTGTTTTTTGATGATGGTAACTTATGTTAGATGGATATATAAATACAAATATAATCGGTGACATTAATTTTTGAAAGTCCACATCAAGGTATTTGAATGACTTTTATAAGAAGAGCGAGTTTTATGGCAATCGAGAATGTAGTAATATATTCCTTTATTCATTATAGAGATCGAAGACATTGCTCTTATTAAAGAGAGCTAAGAGATATTATAGACGAGAAAGTTCTTATATGAACTTGGACTAAAGTAAAAGAACTTTGTGCTTATATTGTGATAGTTAGAGTATAATCTATCTCAATAAGTATCTTACTTTTTATTTTCAATCGAAGCATATTGGGGTTAGATACTAATGGATTCTTGATGCTATAGAGATGGAGTTATTTATTATTAAGAAGATCCATGTCATTGAGAATGTGTCGGATATGATGACTAAGTTTTTATCGAGAAAGAAGTTTGAGTTCTATAGAAGACAAACGAATTTGGTGGAGCTACTCAAATGAGTCGAGACAGGGAGAATTGTTAAGTTGTATTCTTTCTCATATGAAGTCCAAAGCCCATGTACACAAAATAAGAAAAAAAATATACAAAAGAGAAAAAGAACTAAAATTGTAGAGGAAAAGTCACATAATGTGACGAGTATAAAACAACAATCGCTTTTTTCATATGAGTGGTTGACCACAATAAAAAAAATAAACAAAATAAAAATTTTACCATATATATAGAGAAAGAGAGAGAGGTCGCTCCTCATCTTTATTGCATTGATTGAGTTGTGATTTCAACTCCAATTAAGTTGACTTTTGATAAATTATTTTGGTGATGAGCTCTTCAACTTGAACAATTCTAACTATTGAGAATCTTGTATCTTTGAGTATTTCGTAAAAACCTATTTGATGAGATCTAATCTTTTTCTTTGTTGTTATTGTTGGAATTTATCTTTTTTATAATAACTTTGATGTTTTGATGTGTTTCCTCTAATTAAATTTAGAGAAGAATTGTGCATCATATTATTTAATATAATGGAAGAATTTTATTGAACTCGTTGTTATATCTAAATTGATTTTGAGTCTAAACCTAATAAATTGAATGGAAAAAAAATGGACAAAGATCTTCAAGTTCTTCGATGGGTTCTTAAACTTTTTTATTGGCTTTGCCTAAAAGTTCATCGGGTTTATTTTAGATAGAAAAGACCATCTATAGCATATTAAGTCCAATGTGTGCCCTAAACCCTAACAAGTTAGCCTAGATAAAGTTGTTGGAGGTCTCTTCACAAACTTAGAAGAAACAAACGGAAGATGAACTCTAAACAAGCAAAAGTCGAGCTGATACATGAGAAAAGTTTTATTTTAAGGGTTAAGTTGACCAACAACAAGTGATGTACATATAATTAGATAATAACATAATTGTAGTAGTGATATAAGCACGATGTGTGCTAAAAAAAATCATAAGAGATCGTAGCATAAAGATAATAAAGCGAGGCATTACAAAGTAAAAAAATAAGAGCACAAATGCATTACAACATAAAAAATAAGAACACAAATGCATTGCGAGTGCAAGAAAAGAAGAACATGAAACATTACAACATGCATGAGGAAGAGTGATCCATTACTGGAGGTCATAAAAGAACAAAAGGCTTGTAAATATTGACTACAACTAGGGAGAAAAACACACAAGAAAACTTTTTCAAATTGCAAATAGCTCAAGGAGCATTTTTACAAGTTTCACATTTAAAGCTTGTCAAACGAGTAGCTAGTAAGCGATAACTTGTAGGTAGTAATCAATAGATATTAATTTATAAGCGGCAATCTAGTAGGCAATAATTTGTAAGCTGATAGTTGGTTCATCATCTTTTGTTTGTGTTCATAGCAATCATCATTCCTAGTTCTATCAAGACAAGTTATGTTTTGAGCGTCCATTTATAAATATTTACGGATAAGTTTATTGGATTCGAGTATTATAAAGACTATAGTATTGCATTATAAAATCTTCAAATTCATAATTGTTAGGTTTTCAATCATATTGCATCATGTTGTTCTTAGCATTTTAATTGTTTAATTTTCTAGTTTTTATTTAGTCATGATGTTTTGATTGCATATTAAAGTCGAGAGTTTGATTTATACTTTGAATTGTCTTTTATTTCTAGTTATTGTCCTTATAATCCTACAATCCAACTAGCTTGGGAGGTAACATTTCTCTGCTATGAGTATCCAAGTCTATTATGGCCCGTTAAATTTATTTTAATTCAATTTTTTTACAACATAAATACCAAAAACAACATCGGGATTAGTTACAAGATTGAGAGATTGATCGTCCTACGAACACATTGCAATCATCATTTAATTCTTTTGTTATTAAGTCTTCTTAGTTGAGATCGACACAAAAAAAAACCCATAACAAATACGATCTCATGGATTCTTTTCCTACATTGGGGTTTTTATGTAAAAAATTTGAGTGTTGACCGTGTTTGTATTTATTTATTTGATGTTAATTATTATTGATTGATTAATTATAATTTTAACTAAAAAAATGGAAAAAAAATTAGAACTTGTAGTTTGTGATTTTAATTCTGACTTGTATCTTTCCCAACATCTTTTTCTACTCCCTCTACGTAGCTCTCTTTTCTAAGGAGAAAGTGAGACATAAATTCAACTACTTCTCCTCATCGTACCAAAAACATAGTAATATCAAAATTCAACCATATGTGGGGAAATACTATATGCTGTCTTTTGATTGAAGCATTTCAATTGCTAATTCAAAATGGAAAAAGTAAGAGACACAATGAGGCCAGCTAACTGGATGATTCTCCTTGATTTCCCGTTAAGGCCTTCCAATTTCCCAAATTGGAGACAATTCTGAAAGAGAGTGTTGAGTGATGATGATTAATGTTCTCTTTTGCCCTTTCCAATTAGAGTTTTTGAAGATGGGACGAGGAAGATAAGATGTTGGTATCAAAGATGCTCCATAACGTATATATTTGACACGGCCTACATTTTGCTTGCATGTTCTATTGTGTGTCTGTGTAGAGAAGTAGGAATTGATGTCAGGATTTCACAGGCAGTCATCAGGTGCTACTTTATCATTTTACTGTTAGTTTTTTTCTTTCTTTCTTTCTTTCTTTCATTTTTTTGAAAAATTTGTTGCAAATTCGAATTTAGCGAGACTTGTTATCAATATTAGGTGAGTCCGGCTCGCCAAGAATCCATATGCGTATGGGTTCATAACTAGCCGAACTCAGTTAATAATTTCTGGGTGAAAAATGATGGACCCACTTTTTTTTTTTTTTTTTTGTATAATATAGTGAAGTTTAATTATTCTTTTTTAATGGTTACGTCTTATTCGTAGATAGCAGCATCAATCTCAAGAACCATCTATATTTATATCCAAATACTAGTATACTTCGGCATGATTAGAATAGGAGTTAAATATTTATAACAATACATCAAATGATCTTCTCGAATAAAATAAAATTAAAAAAACCTGCTTTGTTTTCATTATTGTTAGATGACAGCATAGAACTCACTGCTAGTTTGGCTGTTTTCAGTTCAGGAACAAATACTCATGGTAGCGGCAATGAAGCATTTCTTTTTTCCGGAATTTAATTTCTTAATTGCTAGTAGCTTGTCGGATAAAAACATTGGATATGAAGTGTCAGCTTGGGAATTTCAGAATGGATGGTGTAATCTTCAATTTGATGGAAACAACGAACGTAATTATAGAGCTTGGATCACTTAGCAGTACTCTAGCTAGTAATAGGGGCAAATTGACCTCAAATAATGCTTCAAGACTTGGAACTGTGATATAAGCTTGTCTCAATTGGATTTAAAATAAAGAATATATTAATTGCATGCTACAAATCGGTCCATCATTTTTCTCCCACTTGATAATCACAATTTCCGATTACACAAGATTCATACAACATTCAAATTTGATATAAGATTTAAATTCATATAATGTTCGTAAAAGACATAATTGAGCACACATGTGGCTTTTTTTATCGAATTATCTGTAGTCTATGGATCTATTATCCCGCCAATAAAATTGTGTTCGTGTGGTGAGTCTTGCATTATAGCCTAACAAAGCTACAAAGCCCAGCCCAATATAAAGAAGGATTATTTAAAAGAACAATCAGAACTACAAAAATAAGTCTCCCTTCAATCAAGTAATAGTAAAAAAGCCCATCATTTGATTAGTTGTACATTAAAATATTTGGACCCAAACCCACCTGAGTTTTGTACTGAAGAAGGTGCGCATCTCCTCCTGAAAAATTCCCATAACCATACAAAGACTTTCGTTTTCCCTTGCATCCTCCCGCCATCGTCTCCTGCGAGAAAAAAGCTCTCGCTTTTGGTCTCTACAATTTCACCAAAAAATAGACCGACACAAGACTACCCCATAAAAAATAATATACAAAAAAGACAATCAAATTCCTTTTCAGAAACAATTATGCTCCGTCTCTGTTATAGAAATCGAAGTTATCTCCGTCTTCCTTTCTCTCGCTCTTTCTCCTCTTCTTCCCCATCTTCTAAAGACCCCATCGAGTCCCCAAACAATCTAAAAAATTCCCAATATATTCCTCCTCAGCTACCAATTCTCCACCAGAATCACCTTATTCATTCCACCACTACCAGCACCACCTCCTTTCTTTCCCGTAACTCCGTACTCGCTCTCTCCGCCACTCTCGTCTCCATCGTACTCGCATCCCTCGCTTATAATAATTCCCAGTCCACAAACCCTAACCCTAACAACAATAATGATTACAATCATTTGTACGCTGCAATTGAGCAGACAGTTTCAAAATCAAATGAATCTTTTAGAAGAATCTTTAATCACGTGAGGCATACAGGAGTTGCCGCGTCGGTTTTATGGCAATCGCTAAGGTCTGTGCTTTCTTCTGCGAATCATGAGGTGAGGGTTGGATTTGAGCTTCGTGTGGCGGCTTTGCTGGCAGATATTGCGGCGGCAAATGCAGCACGTAGGGCGGCTTTGGTTGGGGCTGGTGGTGGTGCGGTGGTGGATTGGTTGTTGGAGACGGTTGCCGTAAGTGGGGACGGGTGTGGTGCCCAGGCTGAGGCGGCTAGAGCATTAGCGTATTTGATTGCGGATCCTAATGTCTCTGCTGATGTTCTTGGGAGGCCTCATGCTGTGTCTTATCTGTTGCGGTTTATATTTTCATGCCAGCCGAAGAAGAATGTGAGTTTTTTTTTTTTTTTTGGTGAATTTTGGTATTGGTGACTGAGTAAATGGTGATTAATGTGCAAACATGTTCCTTGTTGAATCCAGTGAAGTTTGCAATTTATTGCCATCTGTGGTTTGATTAGTTGTGCTTTTTTATATGCGCGTCTAAGTTAAAGTCTATGAATGATACCTGGAGAATGGTAAATTAAGTCTAAAGATTGATGTATGTGTCCATGTTACTTCATCGTTTCATTTGGTTGCGTCCAAGGTGTCTTAGGCTTTCATTTTTGGGCTTTGTAATAATTTTAAGTGGTGTTTTTTTCAAACCATTGATATATTCCATTTTTGTGGGAGCAGCAATCGAGACGTAGTTCATTCGATATTTCTGATTCTTTGAAAGGTAGGAGCATGCTTGTGGCTGCAATCATGGATATTGTCACATCCAACTGCGATTCCTTAGAAAAGGTTTCTTTTAAGCCATCCTTGCCAGGAAATGCAGAAACGAGAGACATTGCTGCAGCCATTGAAGTTGTCGAGGAAGGTGGTTTACAGATGGACAATGCAGGTGAAAATGAAGATGATGATGATGGTGGGAGAGGAATGAAAGGTATTGGAATTAAAATCCTTGAAGGTACCACGGTTTTAGGCCTTTCAAGGACTAGTGGGCTTGTGGAGTTGGAGCATTCTGATGCTGGTCACGTTGAATCATTTAGCCATACTCCTAAAACAGTTGCCTTGCTGCATAAGCATGACCGTTTGTTGGCAAAAGAAAAACTATCTTCTGCTGTTGTTCCTGGACTATGGGATGATCTGCATTGTCAGCATGTTGCTGTGCCCTTTGCAGCATGGGCATTGGCCAATTGGGCAATGGCATCTGAGGTAAATAGATTTCGTATTCAAGAACTGGATCAAGATGGACAAGCTGTCATGACTGCTTTAATGGCACCTGAGAGATCTGTTAAATGGCATGGAAGCTTGGTGGCCCAGTTGCTGCTGGAGGATCGTAATCTTCCCTTGAATGATTCTGTTTCTGATTGGAGTTCCAGTCTTCTGGCTACTATTTCACAGGCAAGCAAAAATGATGATATCCCTTTGGCTCAGATGGCTTTGTCTGCCTTTTTGCTTTCTGTTGAGAGAAGTCCAGAGGCAAGGAAGATAGTGACGGAGAAAGGACTTCAGCTTATGAGAGACACAGCTAAGCGGACCACCAAACACAAGCACGTACAAGAAACATTAGCAAAGGCATTAGAGTTACTTTCCACTGGTGATGTTCACTTATCTCTTGAAGATAGTCAGAAGTGGTCTGGCATTCTGCTACCTTGGGTTTTTGCAAAATTCTCCTCTGATGCTATGCGATCTTCAGCTATAAAAATTCTCTCATGCATTTTTGAAGAACATGGGCCATCTACCCTTCTGATTTCTCAAGGCTGGTTAGCTATTTTGCTAAATGAAGTTTTAGTTTCGAGCAAGGAGTCTTTTGGTAAAGGAGGAACTCAACCTAAGGGGGGCAAAGTGAAGGTATGGAGATGCTTTTTGACCCCTTCATATCGTCTAATAGAAGTTGAAATTCACCACTTTAATTGAACCTTTTTTCTCTTGTGTCTTGTAGAATGTATTTTATTTACCCTATTTGTGCACCAGTATTTATAAGGATAATTAACTTTTGCAGACTCAAATTGATCAGTCCAACATTCTTTTTGCTACTCAGACTGCTAATCAATTGGCAAGTGCTGTTGTGAACCTAGCAAGGAATCAGCTAGGAACAGACATTGATTCTGTCGATATTTTCCCTCTGGCAGATCTTCTTTCCATGGAACCTTTTATTGGACCATTTAAGAACATAAAGAAAGACTCTGCAGCTAAGTTTAACGTGGCAGATTCTGCATTGGCAACTCTCAAGGGGATTAAAGCACTGACTGAGCTCTGTTCTGAAGATTATTTATGTCAAGAAAAAATTTCAGAATTTGGGGTTTTGTGTTTGCTTAGGCGCTTTCTGTTGAATGATGATTATGAGAAACTTGCTGCAGTGGAAGCTTATGATGCTTCTAGGGCCCCTGAGTCACAAGAACGGGGTGCAAATGCTGCTGGCGATTCGGCTAATGCAGATGCTAATGATCCATCTAGTGTTCGAGTTCCACCTACAGCTCACATTCGAAAACATGCAGCTAGGCTCTTGTCTATTCTTTCACTACTTCCAAAAGTTCAAAAGGTTATTCTATCAGATAAAGCTTGGTGTAAATGGCTTGAGGATTGTGCTAATGGTAGCATCGCAGGTTGTAGTGACCTGAAAATACAAAGTTATGCTAGGGCAACACTCTTAAATGTGTTGTGCTGCCAGTATACTGGTAGCGAGTCAACTAATGGCTATGTTAGTGAGACTGAAGCCAGAAATGTAAAAGGTGATTGTGCTCGTTATAGCAACATGATCTTTTTGATTAATCCAGATTTGCCACACTGGAAGCGTTGTGAAAAAATAGATAGCATGGTGATTCAAAAAAATAAATTGTCTTCAACTGAGGATTCTATCGACAGTGATGGTTCAATTGGAACTAGTGCTTCAGATGCTTGTAATAGGTCATATGATTGCAATGAACTAACAAAAGACTCTGATTCAGAGGTTCCGGATATAGATGTTGTCTTTGTCCATGGTTTGCGTGGTGGGCCTTACAGGACATGGCGCATATCTGAGGACAAACTTTCAACTAAGTCTGGCTTAGTCGAGAAGATTGATGAGGAAGCAGGGAAGTCAGGAACATTTTGGCCAGGCGAATGGCTTTCAGCAGACTTCCCTCGAGCTCGTCTTTTTACCCTCAAATACAAGGTTCATTTCCACTTTGATACTTGTTTAAGAAGTGCTTTTTCACTAAGAATGGTATTCATCCTTTTAAGCCTCTCTACTGGGTTTGTCTCTGTCACAAGCCTTATCAAAGTCTATCTCCTGTTTGAATTTCAATGCAGACAAATCTTACACAATGGTCCGGAGCTAGTCTGCCTCTTCAGGTTTGTACATTTTTTGTTGATATTGTGGTAGGATTAGTGCATGAATTTAAGTTGGGGTGTGCTATTTTTCCATTTTGGAGAGTTTGATTATCAACAATTTGATTATGCATTAAACTATTTTGGTGAATGATTGTGACTAACCTATTGAGGCTTTTAAAAAGATGCAGGTCAAACTTTGAATTTTGGGAACTTTTTAAATTATTGCAATTCAATCATCTTATTTACTTACAGTAGTAGATTTGGCAAGTTTAATGGGCCAAGACATAAGATTGAGGATTTAGATTGATACCAAGGCTAATGTTGGCATTGCTCATATACACTTTGAATTTCCAAATTCAGAAAGATAATTCGTTTTCTTAAGTTTGGTCTTATATTTTTGTTCATTACTTGGGTGATCATATAACATCATTATTATCATCAGCTTACAATCGTCATTTTGTTGTGGCTGTACTTGTGGCTTCTAATATTTTCTATGTTAGTGACATCGTGTTTGCTGTGAATACCATTTCCTTCCTGCTTTTAGCATATGCTGCATCATTATTCATGTTCTGATTTAAACTTGCAGGAAGTCAGCTCCAAGCTGCTAGAGCAGCTTGTGAATGCTGGCATTGGAAATCGTCCTGTTGTATTCGTGACTCACAGGTAAGCTTTATCATTGACTTATGTGTTATCGTATTCTCCATTATTGGAACCACCTAAGCGGATCTTGCTACTTTTATAATTTGCAGCTGTTATTCATTTTATCAATTATGGGTATTTTTCTAGCAGGCTTTTTGAGTGCACACATATAAGTGTATTTTGTAGCAATAAATGGAATGTTTGAACTGGTGTGAACATTGTTGAGAGAACTTGTGTTATTTGAAATGGATATTTACTTGAAAGCCATTAATATAAGATGATGTGTCAGTATCAACTTGGGTCTCAAACCATGGTATTTTTGGACACATAACAAACGTCAAGGATCTGGAATTGGACCCATTGTGGTTTCGTGTCTTACTGTAATTGTTACTTTTTGTATCTGCATGCACAACATGCTCTGATTGGTCCGGGATGTTTTAATAAATGAAAATGACATAAGACTTTCAAAGAAAAATGGTTTCCAAGTTTGTTGTTAGTTCACTCCACAATTCCACATTTATTTGGCTGGGCTGGTCTTTCAATGCTGCTTAGTCAGAGCATTCTGTTGTAACTGTTCACTGCCTGCAGCATGGGAGGCCTGGTCGTCAAACAGATGCTGCATAGAGCTAAGGCAGAAAATATTCATAACCTTGTGAACAACACGGTTGGAGTTGTAAGTTTCTGAAAATAACTAGCAACTTGTTTTCTTTCATTAACTTGATTGGGTTGGACCCTCAAGGAATTCAATTTGATGTTTTTTCCTGATTTCAGGTGTTTTACAGCTGTCCCCACTTTGGCAGCAAACTGGCAGACATGCCTTGGCGTATGGGCCTTGTGCTTCGTCCTGCTCCATCTGTTAGTACACAATTCAGTACATAATTGTTGATTCACAAAATTTAATCTTAGCTAAATTTGTTATTGTGCATTAATTGAGTGATAAATTTGATTGGTTTGTTCATAGATAGGGGAGCTAAGAAGCGGTTCTCCAAGACTCGTAGAACTTAATGATTTTATCCGTCAGCTTCATAAGAAAGGATTGGTTGAAGTCCTAAGTTTCTGTGAGGTAATAAATTTGTGCTTCTCTTTCTTGTTTGATATTTGTGCTCTCCTTGTGTACGGATCTATGAGGAGCCTGATGGATGGTTGGCACTGCTTTGCAGACTAAGGTAACTCCAATTGTTGAAGGATATGGAGGATGGGCCTGGAGGATGGAAATTGTGCCAATTGAATCAGCTTACCCTGGATTTGGTGAACTTGTTGTAAGTGTGACAGTGGAAAATTTTCCTTGGTCGTTCTTCTTTTTACCTTTTAAGATAGTGGATGAGTTCACTGGATTTTATGACTTGACTTGTGGAAGGGTTCACCAAAATATTGAATCTTTTAATTATTTTAAAGAAGTTTTTTTTTTTACCAAAACATGCTGTCAAAATGTTATACGTGTTGGATTTCTGCATAATTTTGTATTTGACTCTTTTATACTGAAACAGGTTCTAGACTCGACCGATCATATAAATTCATGCAAGCCTGTATGCCGCAGTGATCCTTCATATACGGAGACATTAAAATTTTTACAGAAGCTGAAAGCCCATTATTCATGAGATGTTTCAGTTTCACCGTGAAATTGTTGTCAATAGCCGCACTAAACTTGAACTCTTAGGCTTGGTAGTGCAAATTTTGGCATTGAAGAGAGCATGTAGATTTGATTGCTAACTGGATAAGGTGAAAAGCCTTCGGACCTGACAGGATGAAGCTTACAGATGTTCAATTTGTTCTCTAACCATCGTCACGCATAACTAGGAAGTTCTTTTTACATCTACTCCCTAATTTTATGAATTGTACATTGATTTGTACATCATGTGCATTCCTCATTCATACATTTATCTGTAAATAAACCATCCGTTGAATCATAGTGTGTACATAAATACTTTTGAGAGGAAAAAATAAATATAATGAGAAATTCTATTTCTGCTTTGTAACATGCGTTTGATTTTTGATGGAATGTATTGAATATTGATATAATCCCTCTTAAGTAGTATGTAATTTGGACCACGTGTAGAGTATTACTGGAGATAATTTTAGCCCATAACGGCTGATAGAAAAAAGTAGTAGCCCAATAGATGACTTGGGCTTTAGTGATAGCCTTGTAGTCCACTAAGCAAACAATAAACCTCATCATCGTTTGGTAGAGCGTAGAGCAGAGGAGAAGAGAAGAGAGGTTCAAGTTCTAACCATGGCTTTGTTCTCCTTAACAGCGTCTTGGAAACCACCAACCATAGAACCTATTGTGCATTCTTCTTCTTTTGTTTCGTCATTATTTACATCTCAGTTAAAGCTCCCAAACCCAGTAAGAAAGAAGAACCATCTAAACCACAAGACAATAACTTGTTGCTCCAATTCAGTTTCTTCATTATCAACAACAGCAACACCAAGTGTAAGTTTGGGTCCGCCAGTGATGAAGAAGAGAAAAAGGTATAGGAAGCCCTATCCAGGAGAGAGCAAAGGAATTACTGAAGAGATGAGATTTGTTGCTATGAAACTTCGTAATATCAAAGGCAAATACGCCCACAAGACTGTTAACAGTGATGATGATGACAGCAGCCAAGATTCAGAAAACGATTGCGTATCTGAGAAAGAAGAAGAGGGAGATGGTGATAGTGACGGCGATAATGATGGGGAAGGGGATATTTGGATTCCTAGTATGGAAGGGTTTGTTAAGTATCTGGTTGACAGCAAGCTTGTTTTCGACACTGTTGAGCGGATTGTTGATAAATCTGATGATGTTTCTTGTGAGTTTCCGCGCCCCTCCCCTTTTTTTTTTCTTTATCAATTTCCCGTTTTAACCACATCTTTATGCTATTTTAATTCCCGTGGGGTAGAGCCGATTATTATTATTTTGGGGGTTTTAGCATCATTTAGTATATGGTTGTGCTATTTTATGCTTTGTTAGCGCTTTTGTTAGGTATAGTTATGATGAAGGAGCTTATGCTGTTTTTATGGAGAGATACTGACCAATTTCTTAGAGAATCTGACAAAAATCTGCAGGAAATTTTTGCAAGAATCTTTACTAAGATTTGTTTTTCAATTGCAGATGCTTATTTTAGAAAAACTGGATTGGAAAGATCAGAGGGTCTTGCAAAGGACCTCGAGTGGTTTAGTCAACTGAATATAGAGATTCCTGAGCCTAGCACTCCAGGAAGTTCTTATGTCAAGTATTTGGAGAAGCTTTCAGAGGATAGCGCCCCATTGTTCCTTTGCCATTTCTACAATATATATTTCTCGCATATAGCAGGCGGTCAAGTGATATCTAGAAAGGTGTGCTTAGTTGTGAGTTGTGTGTTAGTTAATATAACAATTCCAGCTCAAGATGTAGAATAGAATGCCCCGCTACAATTTCTACATTCCAGCCTATAAACCTTCAAAATTCCATATTGATCTTTGCTACAATTGAATTGGTTTGAAGTATGGTTAATTTGCGTCCTTCATAAAACACATGTAACAAGGTCATCTAATCTGCAAACCTTAAAATTCTAGAATTAAGTAGGATATAATGACTGACAATTGCAATTGTACCATTGACTCTCTTTCGAAGTCAAGCAAGCTCGTGCTTTCTCATGATGAAGTGAAAAAGGTTCCAATTAAACCTTGTGCTATCCTGTAGCTGGTGCAATCAAAATAGAATCAGTTACAGATATTTGACCCTTTCTATGGACAAGCTAAAGAAAAAGGTTCCAGATAAACCTTGGCCCATCTTTAGCGGTCTTGCCAAATCAAATCAATCATTAATCTTATTGTTTTGATTTATATTTTCAGGTTTCTTACAGGCTCCTGCAAGGAAGAGAGTTGGAGTTCTACAGATGGGATGGAGATGTCCAGGAATTGTTGAAGGGTGTTCGTGAGAAGCTCAACATGCTGGGAGAGGTTAGTAACTTGAGATCACCATGCATCCATTGAATTACATTTGCTTTTCGTTTACATTTCATTATACCTATCCACTGGGTGTTTGTAATGCTATGAATACAGCATTGGTCACGAGATGAGAAAAACAAATGCTTGAAGGAAGCAACAAAGTCATTCAGGTATTTGGGACAGATAGTCCGGCTGATCATCTTGTAATGCAGCTTTGAAGGCTTGTTTGTGGTAAGGCTGTACCTTTTTTCATTTTTCTCGTTGATTAATCTGATGTTTCCCTTTTCCTCATTATTGCTTATGTTCTTATGGTATATCTGCCTATGAATCAGTTCGTTCCACCTATTCATTTAATTTTAAAAAGGGAAAACTTATTCCATCATCTAAATCATGTGTTTATATCAAATGATCATCCCTGAACAGGCATGGGTTCTGAAACCATGACACCTACTATCTTGTTTTTATTTCCTAGACACAAATTATGGTTTTTCTAATTTAATCTGAATTTCATGTTATTTTTCTCCATCGCTTTGATTCTCCACAGTTGTAAAGAATGCCTGCATTTCTTATGGTTGCCAAATAGCATCGTTCCTGTTGTGGACCAACTCCATGTCTATCCTTAATTTGGTCAACTTGCAGTCAAACAGGTTCACATCATTGAGTAAAAGGAGAAACTTTGTTTTTGCACCTGGAATAGTATTAGTATTTGCTTATGATGGAATTGTTTTATCAGAAGGACATATGGCATAGACATCAACGTTTTCATAGAGTGTTTCTCTGCCATGGTGATAGTGGCAGATCGGTTTCTCTAGGCTTTGCTTTCAACCCATGGTAAATTGTTTTGGGAAAAGGTGCAGATAGTTAAGATTGCATAAGGCTGATTCTGTTATATTACTTCAATTGCATGTGAGGTTGTGGAGGATTGATTAATTGTGGAGTGTGTATGTTATAATTAAGCAGTAGGAGGGTGAATTTTAGAAACTTGTTAATATTTCTTTGATAGTTACGATTGCATAGGTTTGCATCTCTTGCTTGTCTCAACAGCTCCATTTGATCTTCATCGGCTTAGGCAGCAGGAGATTGGGTTTCTTAGTAAGACCTTTTTTTCTTCTTTTATTAGATATTCAATACTTACTAGGCTTGTATTACAATTTTTCATGTCTGTATTTTTTAATTCCCATGTTCTCATGGGTCGTCACAATTCACATGCTTATAATACAAGACTCTTCCATTCTTTTACCTGCTACTGTCAGTTTTCTTTTACCTGATAGGATCTTTTGCATCCTATAAAAGCTTTCCCCTGCAGTAATGTTGAGCTTTTTCCCTTTTTTTTTTTTTTTTTTTTGAGGTTTCATTCTTAAATTTTTACTAAATTTGTAATTTTAATTTATTTTGATTTAGTAGGATATTCACTTTCGAGGAAGCTCTTACTAATTGTTTGGCATTTACCTAAGGGGCACTAGATAAAATTGAAAATTAAGTATTCAATCTGTTAAGTATTGAATTTTAAATACGGAATATATTCATGATAAGTTGTTTGGTATTTATTGAAAATTAAGTATTGAATATAATAAACTTGTTTGATAAATACTCGTTGTTGAACATATTAAGGCTTTATACACGATAATTTTAATTGTAATATGATATTTTTTAACAGAAATAATATATATATGTGTGTACAAATAAATAAATAAATAAATATAATTATTAATAAAAAATTAAATACAATTTAAGATAAATCAATTGTAATATAATTTTGCTCTCAACATTCATCTTTCTTTTATATACCACACACAGGTAGCAACGAACAAAGAGAAAAGAAACTATCGTACAAAGTGTGTGTACGAATAAATAAATAAACAAAAATTCAATAAAAATAATTATTAATAAAAAATTAAATACAATTTAAGATAAATTAATTGTCATATAATTTTGCTCTCAACATTCATCTTTCATTTATATACCACACACACAGGTAGCTACGAACAAAGAGAAAAGAAACTACCGTACAAAGAGAGTATTCTTTCTTCCAAAATAAAAAAAAAAGTTGAGAATATCACTGTCTCCATTCATAAAACCTTTTGTTTCTTCTATTTTTTTCTGGTTATATTCATTTGTGCTGGTATTGTACTTTATATTAATTAATGTCATCCCCACTTGCTCCATCTTTCCAGTTTGCCTCCATTTTGTAAACAATAATAATTTTCTTTCTTTATCGAAAAAAAGAAGAAAAAGAGAAGAAAAAGAACATGGCATCCTATTCGATGTTTGTTTCTGTTGTGACTTTGACATGCATCAAAGGTCCCATACGGGCGATCATGGAATGAATAAGGCAACCAAATCCTTCTTGCGATGGATTTGAAATAGGCAATTTATATTCATATATACCTAAATCCTTTTATCTTTTCCTTATTGTACAATAAGAGAAAGTGATGTTTTTAGATTTCGGGATGGAAGCATCGATAATAAAGAAGGTTTTTTCTATTTTAACAATGAGGATAATAGAGATTATTTTTCAATTGATTTATATAACTAAAGTTATAAAAATATATAAGGATGATATAATCATATTCGAAAAGTTTTAAAAATCTATCAACCGAGCTTGTTAATCAAAAAATAATAAGTTAAAAACTTTAACTTATCCGATTAAATAGATTTTGATTGAATTCAAATTTTTAATATGAGATTATTTAAGTTATCAAATAAATTTTTTATATTAAATATTACAACTTAATTTTTTAAGCTACTTAAATAGGTTATTAAACACTCATTTAGATTTCTATTTTCACTTGTGTACACTTTCTGCTCTCCTGCTTGCTTTGGTTTTTGAGGATATTGAATGTTTTTTTTTTTTTTGGGTGTCAATTTGGTGATGATTAATTCGGCAATCTTGGATAGCCATACAAATAACAAAGCTTTTTTTGATATGGAAGAACCTTAGGAATCTCCATCAAACAAGTTAAAGCATGATGTTTTTCCTTGCTTACCCTAAAAAGAAGAAGAGTAGTTTTGCTTGGGTTTAATGACAAAAATTACCTTAAACTATTGTGTCATGTCAATTTAGGTTACTTGAATTTCAAATTATTATTTTTTAAACAAATATTGATCGTATCTTGAATGTTTCATTCGAGTCATTTAAGCATTCGTTTCGTGTTTTTTTTTTTTTAAATGAAGTCGTTAATTTTATTACAAACTGTTATACTTCCCTTCCTCCCCTCTCCAACAAGTCCAACCAACAGGCAAAAATGTCAACCCTAACTCTCTCTCTCTCTCTCTCTCTCTAATGGCGGCAGAGCACCAAGACCTAGAAGGTGACAATGAAGATGGCGGCGATCAATCTTCCTAATCTCAAAACGACGATCTGGACTGACTGATGCAGACAATCCAACCACTTCAAGGGTTTTTAGATTACACAACAAAAAAGGTACTGCCGATCATCACCATAACGGCACAGCTTTATTTATGATAAAATCAAGTCGAAACTCCAACTCGATTTTATCAAGAACCAGCTTGTTGAGAAATTGGGAAAGACTATTGCTTTAAATCCCCACGCTGGAAAAATTTTAGGTTTTGGTAATAAAGATGGAATAATTTGGACGATATGATGGTGGAAGTCCTGACCATAACTTTATTTCACATCTGAGAGTGCCTGAACCTTAAATAGAAGTGTGTGTATATATATATAATTGTTATTTCCATCATTTTTTTAAAATTATCAATATAATCTCTATCAATATTTGTTACATAATAATTATTTGTAATTGATAAATAATGTATTGGACCAAAGGCTTTGTAAATCAATAATAGTGATCTTTTGCAACAAGAGATCACGAGATTAAATACTAACTGTTTTGTTTTATTTTGTTAAGAGCTTTAAATATGTGAATAAAAAAAAGATTAAATAAAAAAATAAATGATGTATTGGTAATTGTCTAAAAAAAAACTGATGGAAATAACAATTCCGCTAGTAAATTTAGCGAGTATCCTTTAAGTTAAAAGTTAATTTTTTAACTATCAAACATAACGAGAAAAAGTAATATTTGTCCAAAAAATTATAATTTGAGATCTAAATAACTCAAATTGATAATAAAAGTTTTAAATTGTCATAGCTCATAAATCTAATAGTGTGGAGTAATTTTTACCATTAAACCGTTTTGTTTTGGATTGGTTTGCCTCGATTATAGATAGCTTAATAAGTAATGATATTTTCATTGATTTAATGAAAAAGATTATCTTAAACTATTGGATTATAACATTTTAAGGCTTATATTGTCAACTTGAGCTATTTGGATCTCAAATTATTATTTTTTAGATAAATATTATCCTTTTTTTTAATGATCAAAATGTTGACCATTAACTCGCAATATGGTTTAATGACAAAATTTATCTCCAAACTATTAAAATTGTGATAAAATAAGATCTATACTATCAATTTAGGCTATTTGAACTCTAAGTCAACACTTTGAATTTTAGAAATAGCAAAAAAATCATTTTTTTTTTTTGTTATTTCTAACATTCAAAATGTTGAATATTAATTGAAATACTTGAACTCAGATTTTTTTTTAGAATTAAAATTAATTTTAAAAAAATAACTAATGCTTCAATTTTTTTAACTAGATGAATCTATTGCACATGTTAGTTATCTAACAACAAAGGTAAGATCTATTTTAAAAAAAAAAAATCTAAGCTACCTTAAAATCTAGAAATTAATTTTGATTCTAAAAAAAAAAAAAAAAAATAGAATGGTCGAAACTCTGACTGTCAAAAATTATGAATAAGGATAAGATTTACTCAAAGATTAATAATTTAGGGTCTAAATAGCTTAAATTAATAATATAGGTCTTATTTTGCTAAATATCAATAGTTTGAAAATAAATTCTCATTGAATTATATTTCAGCTAACGATCAATGTTTTGATTGTTAAAGCAGAAAAAAAAAGATAATATTTGTTCAAAAAATAATTTTGAATCCAAATAATCTAAACTAGCCACATAAGTTTTAAATTATCATAATTCAATAGTTTGAAAGGAATTTTTGCGGGGTTGGTCCGGGAAACTTTCCCACGTGCAGTGGAGCAAGGCCCGTAAATCAATTTAAGACCAATGACATTCCTTACCCGTGTCTATTCGGGGAAAATTTGGGTGAAAATACCGCTATCCTTGCTATGAATTAGATACAACTGAAGATTGTATTATGAATTCGTGATACTCCACAAAAGCTGAGGCAAACGCACAAAATTAATTATCAGTTAAAAGAAAAAGGCCCATTTTATCGATCAGCTCATCCCAAATCGGGCACGTTCAATATTTCAACTGAGGATTGTCGCCCGCGTATGAGCGGGTCTAGCCCGTTGCTTTGGAAAATTTCACCATCTAATCTCGAAGCAATGCTCCTTCCCTTGCATAAAAGTAGAATCTTCGGTAATAACTGCTATTGAGATCAGGAGAAAAGAGAAGTTGCTGGAGCATAGTGGATGGGATGGTTTTGTTCGGTTTTTGGATGATATGAGTTCGAATCTGGCAAAGCTCGAAGAAACAAGAGGTAGTGTGGGGATAATACTATCCAATCAACTCTGGGTCATTTATAATTCTTACTGAGAATCACATTTGAAACATTAATCTTGATTTACTCTCGTCTCCCGAGTTGCGTGGGTTACGTAAATTGAACTAATTAATAAGAGAAAACTAATTGATGGTCGCGTTTGCATGCCTTCAAATATTATTTGCACTTTCCTTTGTGAGGTTGTATGCAATTAAGTTGGATACACATTCAAAATATAAGATGAGATAGGATCAGAGATTGTAAAATCCCTGACTTTTTTTTTTTTTTGTTCTTAACTCTCCCTTTAATCAAGGGTGATTAATTTTCTTCCTGTGACAATTGATGATTAATTACGAAAGATAAAAAAAATTATCGTCTGCTATAAAAATGTATAAATTACAAATGTAAAGTCAACATGTGAAAGTAACTTTTTTTTTAATGGATACATATTCGGACAAACTACTTGCACGTTTTATTATTATCTTATCATGTCAGCTTGAGTCAGTTGAAAAAATCTTCACACAAAAACTAGCTTATTGATGATTTATTGGCATCAATAAACAACAATTCAGTATCAGAAATCTTGGGAGGCTCCATTATTTTCTTGGTATATCAATAGACTTACCTCTATCTCAGTTAATTCACCTCTTCTATTATAAACCTGAAACAATTCCCAAATTCGCATTGCGAAATTCCACACATGACCCAAAAAAAAAAAAAAGAGAGAGAGAAAGAATTATACATGGGATGTAAATTTAATGAAAAAAAAAAAAAAAAACAACAAGTGTCTATAAAATTGGGCTTAAGTTTAGAAGGTTTTTCCAGTTTAGCCAGCATAAAAGTATTAACAAAAGTAAGGAACTTGGATGCAGAATACTATCAAATTTGTTCCCATGGACATTAGGCGGTGGGGTGCACGTACTTGATAAGTAGAGGCCACTTCATGCGTTTCAGGCTTTCAGCATCTTCGCCTTCTGACGGAGGAGTGCAATTTTTAATTTCTTTAGATCCCTTTGACCAACTGCTGCACCTTGTTTGACAACGTTAGGGATTCCCAGTGAGTTGGGCCACGTGGAAAGGAGTCTGACACGTAACTGTATTGCTACGGTCAAATTAAACGTGGCATGTATATTCTTTTTATTGGAATTTTTTAGTTACTGTGTTTTAATTTTTTAATAACAATCCACATGGAAAAAGAAAGATTATAGTTGGCACTGGAAAATAGAAGTATCGAACGTTCAAATTCCTAGAGATAGTAGTTGGTGCTGGAAAAAGATTCTGAAAGAGAGAGACAAGGTTAGGGATCATGTAGTGCCTGTAGTTGACAATGGCATAAAGACTTTTTTTTTGGGTGGGATAATTTGCGTTCTTTGGATCCGCTGCTATCTGTAGTGTTATCTCTCCATCTCTATCGAGTAAAGATAATGTGATTTGGAAACTGATACATGATAGAATATCTTCTAGTAAAAGCATGTGGAATTTTACACAAGGTAAAAAGTGCATGTTAATTAGAGCTGAATGGTTTAAACTGATTTGGAGTCTTCTTCACATCTCTAGATGTAGTTATATTTCTTGACTAGCTGTGTTAAATAGGCTAAACACCAAAGCAAAACAAATTAAGATAGGAAAGATGATTGATCCAAGTTGTGTTTTTTGCAAAAATAAAAATTTAGGTTAGGAATCATTTGTTCTTTTTATGTGGTGCTACCCAAAGAAATCTGGAATTTCATATTTTCTCTAATTAGCTTTTCAGGATAAACATCTCATGTTTTTATATTTTTATAGTCAGGTAGGCTCTCCTTTGGTGTATTTTGATAATAAAACATCTCAATTATCAAAAAAAAAAGAAAAGAAAGAAAGAAAGAAAGAAAGAAAAAGAAAACAAAAACAGAGAGATTATAAACCATTTCTCATGAAACACGGTTTGTATCTTCATTATTTAGTTTTTATTTTCCTTTTTATCAAATAATATTTTTTATTACTCTTTTTATGAATAGTTGGTATTCCAACAAATATGACATGTATTTGTAAATAAATAAATAACAGTCGATGCAATTGATTAAAAAGTTGAAGATATAAATATTTAAGTAAAAAATAAAATAAAATAGATATATTTGATTAGAAATTTTTACAAGAATCGATACTGAATTTTTCATTATCTAAAAACAATATTATAAGCTTAGTTGTCAAAAAAAGAAAAAAAAGAAAGAAAGAAAAGAAAAATCTTCCCCCATCCAAAAAATAAAAATAAAAATATCATCTGATACAGTGAGACGTTATATATAAAGAGCATGAAAAAATGAAAATAATAAAAAGAAAAAAAAATGCATTTCCTTTGTAAATTGTAAAGTGTGAAAGAGAAAAAATTGAAAACTGACCATTCCACTCAATTTTAAATAATAATAATCATAATAAATACTTATTATCTCTATCCTGGACGTACTAACAAAGTAGTTCATTGTTTATATATATATATATATATATATATATATATATACACCCTAATAAGCAAGGTATTATCAAAGAAAAAATACTTGTTAAAAATGGGATAGTATATGGGTGAATGAATAGATTAAATCTATTTAATAACTTTTTTTTAAATGAGACAATAATTGATAGATAATCAAATATATAGTGTATAAAAACAAGTTCTTATACTTTGGAAAGTAGTATATAATAATAATAATAATAAATGACTAATAGCCGTAAAAGGTAAAATAACATGAAAAGAGAGGAATCCTTTAGAAGAGTTTAAGCTTAAAAAAATAGACAATGAATCTATTTTTAATTTATTTAAAGTGACATGAAATCCATGTATATTGCATTGCAGGTTAGATGTTTCATGCTTGTAATTTATATGGTTACTACCTATGAAGGACGCAATATTCAGCTTCTTAAAGGCATAGTGTTGGCCATGCATGGTGCTCGTACCTTCCTAGAATTTGTCTATTTGATCAGCATTCTTTTGTTTCACGATTTTTTTTTTTTTTTTTAATTTCAACAAAATATTGAAAAGAAACTCACCGACTCGTTTTCCTTTTTCTCGAAAAAGAGAAAAAAGGAAAATCATAGTCACAAAACCAAAAGCGCCCTTACTTTATGGCTTAAAATCATATATGGTCCTCCACCGTTTGGTAAAGTTTACTTTAAACACAGCTTGAAATCCAATTACATCACAACATTATGTACCCAACTGTCTACTTATTTAGCATTCGAGTACTTAGAAGAAGGGATTCCAAATTCGAATCACTTTTAGTCCGAAGAATAGAGGTCGATTGGAGCCAATTAAAAAAGTAGAGGTACCAAACATGATTTTAGGGCCTTACCTTTTAGGTTTCATGTTTTGACATTTTAGCTACCGCATTGACTTTGTTGTGCTATGAATGTTGACAAGGATGAGAAATACGCGTTAACGAATATTTGCAACTGATGAATACAATAAAATATATAAAATACTATAAAGCAAATAGATCCGGCCGGTGGACGCGAGGTGGTAAATGATGTACTGCATAATTTCTATCAGAAAAGGCTCTAAACCTTTTCTACTCTGTTTTTCTTTCTTTCTGCCTTTAATTTATTTCCAAGGACAGATACACAGTTGAACGAATGCTACGTGTTTAGCTTTTCTCTTCTCCTCGTCCTGAAGGATGATTGATTGTTTGTGTTTCTTCAACAAGGTCTGTTAAGCTAATACTTAGCTTTGATTATTTTTCTTCTTCTTTCTTTTCCTAGCTTCTAATTTTAGTGCTCGCCATATAGCTTTTTACAGTATTTAGTTTTAATTATTGTCTTGGATATTTTTGTCTTTTCATATTCTTTTTTATGCATTGATTGTCTTCTAATTTTAGTATTCACAAACATATTTACAGAGTTGCCGACCATAGAGCTAATTTATAAAATGTATAATTTAGAATTTTAGGATTTAACTACAAGATTTTCGGAGACCATATAGCTTTTATAAAACGTGTAATTTGATGCTAGAATAGTGTGTGTTTGTTTGTTTTCTTTTGGCATCATGGCTTCTTCTTTTTTTCCATTGCCTGCACTCTCTGACCATTTCCGTAGCCTTATTTTTCTCAAAATGATCAAACAGAATAAAACCCATACTCACTCATATTTCCTATCTCCTTACTTTTTATGGAGAAATATAGATGGAAACTACAGTATGATTCTCTTATCTCTACTAATTGTTCAGTTTTTAGATTTGTGTTCCCATTAATTATTGTGTTAATATTTGGGCTATTGTTAATTTCAGGAGGCATTGGTTCTAAAAGGTCCTAAGAAATCTCCATTGTTATTGAGATTGGTGGTCTTGGCATTTGCTATGGTTTGTGGAGTTTATATTTGCTCAATATGCTTAAAGCAAATAAATCCACACACAACAGCCAAATTCTTAAACATGAGAATATTTGACCAGCCATGTAATTCTTCAGATATTGAAGAATGGGAAATGCACTATGTGCATTACCCAAAACCTGAAACGTTCAGCAGGTACGTTGATAATTATTGAATTTACTATCCATCTTGGTTTATTTTTTGTGCTTTTATAAAAATAATTACTGCTTTGATGTATATGTAGGGAGGAATGTGCCTGCAACCCAGTAAGATATTTTGCTATATTCTCTATGCAGAGATCTGGAAGTGGATGGTTTGAGACATTATTAAATAGTCATATTAATGTAAGCTCGAATGGAGAAATTTTTGGAAAGAAAGAAAGAAGGGCAAATATTTCTGCAATTGCGCAAACTTTGGATAAAGTATATAATCTTGATTGGTTCAGTAGTGCTTCTAAGAATGAGTGTAATGCTGCTGTTGGTTTCAAATGGATGCTTAATCAGGTTAGTGGCTTAATAATTTTACTCATAGATTTTTATAGTTTGAGATCCTCAACTCAACCGCCTAGGATGATAATGTTCCTACTTCGTTCTCTGACTTTATTTCTTCCTCAAAAGTAATGATGTATGTACTTTTAAAAGCTTTATTTGGGCCTTAAGGGATGGAAAAAAGTTGGCATTGAGTAAAGGTACATTTGTCTTTAGGAAAGTAATTACAAGTTTTGGAGCTTAAAATTCTCTTTTGATGATCCTGTAATTTATTCTTCCAGATCCTATTCAAAAGTCAAAATTACACATGATGATTATGTACTTCGTAGGGTGTGATGGAACATCATGAAGGTATAGCAGAGTACTTCAAGCAGAATGGAGTTCATGCAATATTTCTATTCAGAAGGAATTTGCTCCGTAGAATGATCTCTGTACTTGCAAATTCCTATGACAAAAGCAACAAGCCACTAAATGGAACCCACAAGTCTCACGTCCACTCATCAGTAGAGGTGTTTATCTGTCTGTCTCTCATAAATTTTATGTCTTGATAAAAATTCCTAAAGTTTATAAGGATTGCAGGCTAAGGTTCTTGCAAAATACAAGCCAACAATAAATGCCACGACGCTGATAGCTGAACTGAAGCATGTAGACGATAGGGCTATCAGGGCCATAGATTATTTCAATAGCACTCGTCACATTGTTGTTTACTATGAAGATGTCGTCGGTAACCGCACAGTAAGGCATTTGTGCTATTGTATGTTGTCCTTTAATTAAACGTAACTTATCGCACAATATTAATAACAATCTTGCTGGAATTTCTTATGCAGAAACTGAAAGAAGTTCAAGACTTCTTGAGGTTGCCCTATAGAGAACTTACAAGCCGTCAGGTTAAGATACACAGTGGACATTTATCAAGACAAGTGCAGAACTGGGATGAAATCTATGAAGTATTGAAAGGAACCAAGTATGAGAGTTTTCTTCATTTGGACTATCAAAAATAGGTGCCAACACTACTGCGAATGATGTACATAATAAGTTTTTGCAGCGAGAAACAGATGATATCCTTTCCTTCCCTCTTTTATCTTTTTTTTTTTTTAGTTACATTCTTTCTACCATTAATGAGTAGCCCATGTTTTTTTGAATATTAATTTGATTCCATTTATTCATATGGTAATAGTAAAGTCAATATCCTAATGATCAGTTAATTCTCAAATGCTTACGGTTTGTAGGAAAGTTGCGTAGTATATCCTTTTTTTAACGGATCATTTTTAAATCAAGCACTTTGAATTTTGTCGCTTGAAATATGCAAATAAATATAATATAATAACCTATTAATCCATATATAATAATCATTATTTAACGAATTCAGACAAGTCAATTACTGACATTTATCGTTATAAAAAATATAATATTTGCTGTAATTTAGTAAATAATAACCATATTTCTTTTTTTATATTGTTTGTTTGATATTAAACTATTTGAAGTGTTGTTAACTCTTTTTTTTTAAATAAATTCAACTATTATTATATAATATCAAACTATTAAAAATGTTGTTAATTGTTATACTTAATTAATAAACTGTTAAAAATATATGGATTATAATAAATTTATTAATACCTATTAATCCACTAATGTATTTATGACATGGATTGATTGATATTTTACTATCACAATATGCAATTGCAATCGCTACTGTTTCTACAATAGCATTGGTTATTTGAAACCATGCTACAGAAGATCTCAACAAGCTTGGAAAATCACGATATCAATATCAGGTCCATTTAGCAAATTGTTACCTGACCAAAGATGAAGATCTACTGAAACTAAAACAATGTCGTAGAATTAGTTCTCCAAATAAAGTATGATACAAATCCACATCTGACCAAGGACACGCAGAGATTTCGCCCAGATGAAAGTCAAATGCCAGAGCAGTCAATGATATATGTTTATAAACAGGAATTAATGTCTTGACAAGCCCTTTCTGAGGCATAGATTGCATTTCTGCTCCAGCTAATTTGAAGCCACAAGATGCAAACATCCTAATAAATATGGATTGTTTCCTCATCGTTTCCTTGTCTCCTCCTTCAACAATATCTACAGACAGGCTGTACCAAATTCAATCAAATAGGAGAACTGGCACAACCTTTCTTGTCAGAAACTAGGGCTTGATTGGAAATAGAGACTAAAAATCAAGATGAATTCCAGAACTACCTTTCCTATTTCTATTGCTTTTCCTTCTTCTTTTTTCCCTATTACTTCCTAGAAGATGAGATAACAGAAACGCTAGAAATTTGAGCAGATAAATCAATGAATTACTGATCCATTACTTGTTCCAAAGTCTGGTTTCTCTGTTTGTCTAACAACAAAGTGGTCGACAATTTTAACAGTATTTAGTGGCTCTTGCTGAGCAAGAGCTGCACTCCATTTGCTAGGACACTTTCGATGGTGGCTCAGTTGTGGCTGCTTTGGCTCTGCATCCCAATGAGGATCCAGCTTCCATTCCTTTGGGACCTGCATGTCAAATTGAATAATTGAATAGCGGCAGGAATTTATGACTGTAGCTGCTTGAACACACATGAAGCAACATTGGACAGTTCTAACGGTGAGCTATGATGCATGTTCACAGACAATGGACAAAAAGAGCCAGGATGGGGTAAACTACAAAACAGCCAATCAAAGGGAATTTCTGAAGTTTGAGGTGCCCTTAACTGAACACGAGCATGCACAGGTAAACATGCATGTGCACCCAGGAACAAAGCTTTAGTCAAAAATAATTAATAAAAAGCCATCATGTCAAACTAATAACATGACAGGAGAATCACCGCTGAAAATCAAAACAGCATTAATTTCTTACCTTGTCAACTGCAAGGGTGTAAACCTCAAGATCACCATCTTTATTGATGTGGAATCGAGTGAATGCCTTGTAGTTAGCAATTCGGAGAGAGGAGAAGGCTTCATCAAAATGCATGTGAAGCCAATTAATGCAGATGTATAGATAACTTCCAAAAACCAAAGAAACAACAGGTGTTGAGAAGACCCAGAAGTAGAGAAACACCGAAGCATAATAAATGATAGCTCCCCCTCTTGACACAGACTCCATCCCATTTTTGCAAATATTACTCCGTGAGACAGCCATGACCTGATAATACCCCTCTCATGAATACACAACAGGATCATATTTCAGTGAGATTAAGAACTTTTTTTTACCTCAGGAACATCGAAGGCAGACATGAGATACTTGATGCATGCTGGATAAAGGCCAAAGGTCCATTGTTCAATACGAGAACGAAGGCCAGTAGGATCTGGAAAGTGTTCACTCTCCACAGATCGGTACCACTCATATAAAGTGTGATAGCCTGAAAAAGTCATAACTAGCACCTCTTACTCAATGATCACCTAAAACAAACAATTATTGAAGCCACAAAAACTGAATGTTCCTACAATTTTAAAAAGAAAATTTGAACTATTTGCCAAGGGAACAGAAAGCATAACTTGCCTGAAGTTGCTAGCAGTTTATGCCTGATACATGTCTCAATGCCCAGTTCCAAGAGCAACATTAGAATTAGAGCCGCTGCCAGGTGCGAAGAGACATGGAGAATTCCAATAATCACCCGTTTCTTTCGAGAAACTTTGGATGGGACAAATGCAATTGCCATAATTAGCAACAGAATAGCACCAGTCATGGATACATAAGAGTGCCCCAGCAGGTACATAAAGACATTCCACACCGTGCTAAAGAAACTCCACAAGTGGCCAGAAAATGTATCGTCTTGCCAAATGTGGTCGAGCTTACACTAAAAATGGAAGGGGAAATCAGTCAACTATCAGCAATGTAGTACACGTATCTCTTGGTAAATATTATAATGCTTTATCTATCTAGGTAGTGGGTGTAACATAAAGGTAGCAACAGCATTCTCATAACAGCAGAGGAGGTGCAAGCAATTTCAAGCCAAAAGCAAATGAGAACGAAAGACATTAATTATCCGGGAATTGGGGTCCAAATGCCATCCTTAGGCTATTAGCATGGATATGAGAAGTTGAAATGGCATGGATCTAAAAAGTCAGAATACAGTATCTTAATTGTGAGGCCGTTGCTCAAGAACACCTGAAGTTCCTAACTACCGTGAGTTTGACTAACAGAAAGGACTAAACAGATACGTACCTGCGGAAACATAGAAAAACTCAACATGAAGTATATAATGCCGCCAATGATATCAAATTGCCAGTTCTTCTTTCGAAACTTCAAAATATTACCCAATGCAATCTGGAGGAAAAAAAAAAAAAGATCAAGGAGCCATAGCAAAAAAAAAAAAAAAAGTACAAGGAAAGATGACCATAGAGGAAAGAAAATCATTATAAAATATATATGAAAAATCCGAAACTTACCCTGCTTGAATCTTCTAACGAAGGATAGGCAGCCTTGGTTTCATATGAAGTTCCATACAATTTTTTGAAATTACTAAAGACATGGGTGGGATGTAAAAAAGCACCACCACAACCATTTACTAGAAGATGTTGCACATAGACTGGCCCATCTGATGGAACATATGAATGGCGCATATAATGATGCAAGTCCCCAGCCATTCGAAGTTTACACCTTCCTTCCAAATAATCACATATCAGGTGTGAGACATTCTTTCCAGAAGCATCATTCCAATACCAATCAAGAAGCCAATTTGGTTCGTGTGTAATAATGATCACAGAGTCATTGTCTCCAACCTGAAAAGGAGAAGGCAAGTTAAAGATCCTAATAGTCAGAAGAAGGAATAGAAGGAAAATATTAGCCTAAAAGTAGTGTGAATAATGCACAAAAAAAGAAATAGCTCTATCAAATTCTACTTAGTCAGTGGCTTTGGAAATGTTTTTCATGGATTTTTATTATATTTTTCATAGGCACCTACTCAGAACAACACTTAAAGTACAAGGAAGAAGACAATGATAACAACAATGATGTGACGTTTTAAAATGGTAAACTGAAAAATGGCAACCAGGGTTGCAATTTTCGATTAGGATCAAGTGCGAAAGATCAAAGTGGGCATCTAAGCCCCAAGAAGTTGGCAAAGGACACCGTGATGGTTAGATTTTATTTGCTATCATTCTTAAATTAAGATTAATATAGAAGCGTAAAGGACGACTATCAGCCTTCGCAAAGAATATCACGCTATCAACAGCTGCAAAATCACCAGTGACTTTTCTCACGATATACACTAATTTCCAGGGTGAGTTGGTTCACAAGCATATATAGTGGCCAGTCTCTTCTGGCCCTGTGTTTAATGAACTTGAGCATGCACATTGAATGCATGTGTGCTTTTATGACATGGAACTTCAAGTAGTATGCCAGACAATTTCATCTCCAAATCTAGGGCTAAAATAACCTGTTCTACACATGATAGAATCCTCGGTATCAAGATATAATGTCTCATATTAATATTTATCTAGCAAAAATGGCTATGATGGTTGCTCACTTTGACATATGTGCTTGTCATATAATGCGACTTACAGTCATGCCCAAAAGTTCTGTCCAAGTAAGTCATAATGTGCTTATCATATAAATACTTGTCTAATTTTAGCTGCAGAACATATCAAAATGGGGACAAAGGAAAAGAAGAAATCACCTTCTCCTGTATCAGTTCAGCAAAGAATTTGAACTGGTACACATCAATATCATTATGGAGTGCTAGATCAAGACCAAACACCCACCACTGTTTAGGGAGTTGCAGAGCAAAATAACTCTTCTTCTGGGGCATAAACCACCCACCCAACCAGCTCTTATGACATATGTACCTCATGAAAGTATGAAGTCCATCAAACCAGTCTGCAAAGTTGAAAACAAAAACCATTAAACTGAACCTTTCAATAAACTAGGGTCTACCCCAAAAGGATGTTGATTCAGTTTATGGGCAATTACAGTAGAAAACAACTATTTGTAAGACGAGCTTTTCCTGCAAAGGAAAGGAAAAGAAATATGTAACTGAAATCATGCTGAAAATAAGAAACCAACCATGGTTTCCAGGAATGAGAAAGCACTGAGGTCCATCATAATGTTTCAATTCAGCCACTCCGTCAGGCAGCTCAGGCTTGTTTACAGCTATATGCTCCGGCATATACCAAGTCGGAGGCTGCAAAGCATATTCGAAAGGACAAAAGAAGCGTTTCTCATATGTGAAGGAAGACGGATTAGGATATCTACAACGTAAACATGAAATTATTAATTGAACAAGTGAAAAAGTATCAGCCATGAAGCACATAAATAAGTTAATGATCACATAAAACTAGCCATACATGCACAGTGCATACACTTAAATGCCATAAGCTATCTTCTATGGCCTCAACTATGAATGATTAATAAGCCCTGGATCGTTATAGATCAGGGTGCTCTGGGGAAAACCAACTCCCTAGTTAAACATCAATGCTACAGAAATGGAGGAATATTTTGAGAGATCTCAAAGTATAAAATGAGTCTGCAAATTCTAAAAGCATAAGTTCAACAGGGTCATTCATGATTTAGACATCAGATGACCAACACATCCAGCGGAACATTCCAAAAATTCAACCTTACAAGAAAAGATTCTAAAGAATGAACCTGTAAAGATGGATGCACAACACCCGAAACACCTAAAACAGCTGTTGACAATGTACAGTGCTAAACCAAAGTGGACACAGACAAGGAGAGGCTGGTTTATTAATGGGCGGTAGATATAAAATGCAGGAGCCAATACCAGAATTGATGCCCGAAACAAAGTGCATCTTTAAGTTTGATTCCTCTGCTTCATCGAAGTTAATGTGCTTGTAAAGTAGGATGTTACCACTTTGACACGACTTCATTCCCAGGAATCAAAGTTATACCTTTGAAAACTTAGGGGTAGTAATTATAGAGCCCAAAGCTGTAACAATCCCAGCTTTGCAGTTCAACCAAGGGATTAAATATAAGGTACACTTCTTGCAACAAAAGGAGTAAGGGTTCAAACCCAAGATACAATTTTTTTTTTTAACTTAAGTTAGTCAGTAGCATTAGACTTGAAATTGCAGTTTTAGCACTTAGGTGTCCATCAACATTAGGATATTCATTATTATTTGGTTCACCAAAGATTCAAAACCCTTGATGCAGAAACTCAAATCAGCAGGACTATTAAGGTTGAGTGGACACAACCTTCACAGAGTTTCAAATTCCAACACACCTATGAATCAATATAAAAGGATTGCCTTACCAAATTTCAAGACCATCAAATTAGGGTGAAAAATCATCCAACAAACATAAGGACTCTATCATACAGCTAGGTTGTAAAATTTCGCAACCACATCAACAATACAGAAAAATTTTCAACTTACGCAAGATCCCCTCCTATAAGAAGTAAGTTTCCACGCGGTAGGGAAAGCACAGAATCACCTCTAGTGACCTGAATAGAAGGCTGGGCAAGTAGTCTTGCAACTGTATAAGATGAGTTCCCACCATCACCAGTATCAGCAATGAAGTCAAACCATAGATCTTCCTTGTCGCTAAAATGATCATACAAAAAATCCTGTTGTGCTCCATCTTGAGACCTGTTAATAGCTGCCTGATGGTGCAGAAAAAGGAAGAGAGATGTCACTATACCATGAATGGTCTCATGTTAATCAAAGCTAGCATCTCATATTTTTTGAGGTTTACCAGAGAGACAGAAACAAAACACATGTCAATGAATACAATACTCAATGTGGAACTATACCTGCATCATACGCATGTCAAAACGGCCAACAAACACAGTTACTGATACCAAGAGGTCAAAGGCTGTCTTGAACAAATCAGCAGATGTTCTGGACCATGTAGCCAGTACAAAGTGAGAATATGAATTTCAACTAACCAACCTATCAAGCAAGCAAAATATGTAAATGGAAACGCATACCCTGAATACCAAGGAACCATGTCCAAAAAATCAGGCTTCATTTGTTTCTTCTTTGACTTCTCGTGCTCTTTAACTGACGGGTGAGTAAGAGCCCACCTGTTGATAGACAGAAATGAATGAGTTTGGAAGAGAAACTAGACATCATAAATGGTACCAACAAAAACAGTAAATGCAACTCATTCATGTAATGGCACAATAATCTTAAAAAGGGAAACGTGAAACTGAATGATGACAACTAAAATGAGAGATACATAATGGAATCATGAAGCCATTGTTGGTTTATGTTTCCTCCGCATGCTGCACAGAATATAAAATCAAGCAGAAAAACTCTGTGACTACCAAAAGAGCAGAATCAACTATCAAATGGCCAACATTATGAAATACGGAAGGTTCTCCAATGACTATTCACGAGCATGTAAAATACCATAAAGAAAATACAATGAACCATGATGAAGCAGTTAGCCATAGACACCCAAGTCAAAAATACAAGTAGTAGCATAATTAGAAACTCATCAAGATGACTTGTCTATGCCTTATTGAAGAGATTAAGGGAAAAAAAGCTATTGAAGCTAGCAACTCAAGAAATTCCTATATTAGGCCATAAACCAAACACATAAATCCGAACACGGATGAAGAGAACATGTCATATTGTTATGATTAACCACCAGCAAAAAGGAGCATCATGTCAAGAAAGTTAAAATCCTCCTCAACACCAATACAAGATAATATGCATCCAAAAGTTATCTAAAGATCATCATTCACTCTGTTGAGCCACTACATAATTGGCAATATAAAGACCTATAAATGACTTACCGCCATCAGAAAGGAGCATCCAATCAAGAAAAATAAAATTCGCCTTAATGCCAATACATGATAAATAATGCATCCTAAAGTTAATCTAAAGATCATCACTCACCCTGTTGACCTTTCAACTACATAATTCGCAATGTAAAGACCTATAAATGTGGCCCATAGTGAATATAAGGGAGAAATTTCATCAGATGAACCAGCACATCCACTTCCATTGCAACCTAACTACAAAACGCAAGATACCATTGTGAAAAATAGAAGGATAAATGTTGGAAAAAAAATGATGCATTCAAGATGTTTGATGGAAGGGATTGCATATAGTCTTACCTCCCCATAAAGAACCCACTTGGACAGAAGTGGATAATCACTAGCAGACCCAACTGGAGCAAACCAAGAAGAGCAGACCTGGTCTTTTAACTCATTCATTCGGAGGAATTTTGCAAGCAATGTGTTTCTCTCTTCTTTCTTCCAAAACGAAAACCAACTAGAATACTTTCTTTGAGGTGGTCTATCTCTCAAATTGGCAAGGTTACCACAGTGGCTATAGAAAACGCAGCAGGCTATACTGAGAACCTATTTGAAAAAATAACCACATGAAAACCAATATCAGAGGTTATATTAAAAGGCAAAAAGACATGCACGATGCAGAGAAAGTAACAGTTACACTTACTGTACAATTTTGAAGAATAGTCAAGATCGCTGGTCTCCTTCCAGCAACACGAGAAACAAGGCCAATATACCACAGGCCAATAAAGATAATGTGGAAGACAAGGAGAAACAAAATTGAAGATACATATATTGTCAAAAACAATGACAAATTCATCCTCATATCTACTCCCATCGACTGAAAACTAGGAAGATGATACAGAGCTGCAACTAAAATCCAAGCTATATACCTGTGCAATAAATGTCCACAAACTATCAACATTTATTGCCACACTTTCAATCGCTGTGCTTGTTTAACTACTAGATGAGCACATTTGTACAAAACAAAGAACAAAGGTTGTGTGATCAAGAGCACTTACCACCGACTGAAATTTGAGTAGCTAGGTTTGATGGTCTTCCCCAAAAATGGCGACGAGAAGAAATAAAAGAAACCGAGGAGGCAAGCATACATGGACCACCATTTAATATTATTGTCCAATTTTTCTATAAGAGTGTGCATGTTGTCTGAAGAAATAAAAAACAAACAACCCACAACAACAGCAATGACTGCGTGCCGCGAATGCTCATGCGGGTAGGGATATGTATGCGTCAAAATCGTCCTCACCCTTTCCATTCTGAGGGTTTCTAATAAACCAGTGGTCTGCTTATCAGAGCCCATCATACAATCTCCCAGCAATTCACTCTTTCCAATTAATAATAACTTGCGGAAACAATAACCAGCTTCGGGATCCTGATTAATTTTTTGTAAACAAGTAAGAGTTTAAAATTGGGGAAACAATCCTTAATGCCTAGAATTTGTATCTATACTAAATTGAAACGAAACACAACCTGAAAAAAAAACAAACAAAGCAGTGTTTCGATACTGAGACACTGAGAAAGAACAGACGGAGTCCTAATTGTTCAATGAACCTCGAATTCTAATTTTGTTCATGTTCTCTCGACAACAAACAGAAAACTGGGGTTTTACCTAAAAAGGAAAATAGGACTGCTAGAAACAGCCTTAAAACTCGAACAACAGAAAAAAATCGAACAGAAATTCTTCAATTAAATTCGGTTACAAACATAATTTTATTTGAATAAAGAGAAAGAGAGAGATTGTAAATACCTGTGAGAGGGAGAGGGAGAGGGAGAGAGAGAGAGATTAAAAGCGTGCATGCGAAGCACAATAAGAAGAAAATTGAAGAAAGCCGGTAATGTCATAAACCGACTTGGCATCTAAGAATGTCTGACCGGTACATTACAACGGCATATTCTCTTCCTCACTTATGCAGCTTTTTTTTCTTTTTCTCTGTATTTCTCTCTCTTCTTTTTTTTTTAAAAAAAAAAGAAACTACGAAATTAGTAACACCAAACTAACACGATTTTGACTTTTCTGTGTATTGTTTTCTTTCCCTTTTTTTTCTCCCCCCCCCCCCCCTCTCTTGTTGTCTTCTGATTCAAGAAAACGTTACAAAGATTTCGTTGTTCGATTTTGCCTAAATTTGTTTTGTTTGGATTTTGTGTTTTTATTTTGGTTTCTTTCTTCTATCTTTCACTTTGCTAGTTTATTTTGTAATTTTTTAACTAAACCCACGTTTTATTTGAGGTGATTAGTGACAGTTGTTTTTTGGATTGCTGCCGATGGTTGTTGTTTTTTTTTTTTTTTTTTTTTGACACGGTGGAAATATTTTTAATCGACTGGACGGAACATTTGACCCGAGGCACCTAAATAAAACCAATCAAATCCGGACATGACACGGAATTTGATCATAATAGACTGGATCCGTCTCTCGTTGTTATTCTTTTCTTTCCATGGTATTTGGGCTTGTTCAGAAACGCCCATTGATTGCACCGGGCTAAGATTTCAGAATTGGGGCTGCTAACCTAGCGATTGACACTAAATCTATTGGGTAGGAATTTAGATTTTCTTTCTGAGATTGTCCCAAAGACTAAATACATGAAGTACATGTTTGATTGATTGATTTTATCGATCATGTAAATGCAATGATTTATTTATTATATTCCTATATTAGACTATATAATTTTTTATGTTATAACGTAATTGAGGATTACAACTATGATGACTCATTGTATTATAAGCATTGTATATATATAAAAAAGCTATACAATGAATCATCACATGATTAAAAGTAATTATATAATGACGTAATTATAAAAAGTGTTTCGTTTGGATACTAAATTGTAATTTTTTATTAAATTGTAATTTTAAAAAATTACAAGGATCAAAACTTTCAAAGTAATAAAACTTAGAAATAAAAATAAACATTAACAAAAACACTGAAAAAACCATTATTTGCTATTCACTTTGCCGTTTACAATTTTATTCACCCATACTCGGTTTTATTATTTATCAATCTCATTTAAACTTTTTTTTTCTCGCTATTTTGTAGTATTGTTGTAATTTTCAAAGTTTCTTAAAGCATTTAACATACAAGTTGCTGTGGCTTTATATTTTGATTTTATTTTTTTTATTTTTTTACACATGGCATAACACATTGGCCCTTTGTTTTTTTACACATTTTTGTTTCACTAGTGTGATTTTTTTCAATAACTTAATTTTTTTTTAATTATTTAATTTTTAAAAAAATTGTAGAAAATTGATCGTTATTTTTTAAGTTTTTCATACAAAAAGCCGAGAAAAAAATATATGATGTGTATTATATTTTTAAATAAACATATTTTTGTTTCAATTCTGAACTTTATTTCACTAGCTTGTTCGAGTTTTCAATAATTTATTTTTAAAAAAATATTGATTTTTTTGCAAAATTATAAAAAATTGATCGTTATTTTTTAAAATTTTCTACACAAAATGGAAAGAAAGCAATATGTATGATCTATTTCATATTTTTAAATTAAAATACATTTTATATTATAATAATCTTATTTTTCAAAATTAATTCCTTTAATTTTTCATTTCTTATGGAAGTTTTTATCTAATTAACTATTAATTTTTATTTTTATTCAAATTTATTTGTTGACAAATATGATTTATTTTTCTATGTGTATGAATTTTTTAATTAAATTTCTAAACATTATCATCTTTTCTCTTTTTTTAAAAAAAAACAAGATAGTTTATATGATGAATTCTTACAATCTTTAAAAAAGACTAGCAAATTAACTTTTGATTTTAATTTTTATTAAATTTTATTTGCTAACAAGTATGATTTATTTTTCTCTTGTCTAATTTAATTTTTTGTAAAAACTATAGAAAATTGATCGTGTTTTTTAATTTTTCTACACAAAATGGCGAGAAAAATATATATATGATATGTTTTATATTTTTAAATGAACATGTTTTCATTTCAATTCCAAACTTCATTTCACTAGCTTGTTTTTTGTTTTTCAATAATATGTGTGTATCTCGTGTGTTAGATAGTTTGTTTCAAAATTTTAAAATAAAATCTAAAAAATTAATTGATAATTGAAAGTAAAATGAGAAGAGAGAGAGAGAGGGAGAGGGAGAGAAGAAAGAATTCCTCCATGTGCAAGGTATGTACACAAGAACTAGCAACTTATAATTTAGAAATAGAAATTTGTTTAAAAAAATATGGAATTCACTTGTTTTATCTATACTATATAATAATAAAAAGATAAATTTTGTATGAATGACTTATAGTTTGCTACTCCCGATGGTTTCTCATACATTAAAAATGATAATTAAGAAATAAATTAGCGATCATAAAAATTCAACCAAACTAAATAATCACTTTAGAAACTGAAAACAATATTATTAACTATCAAACAAACAAATCGAGTGTGTGTGTGTGTGTGTGTTGATTTTTTAGCAAAAATTATAGAAAATCAATTGTTATTTTTCAAGTTGTTTTTTTTTTTTTTTTTGGCACCAAATGGCAAGAAAAAAAAATATGATGTGTTTCATATTTTTAAATGAAAATATAGTTTACATTATAATACTCTTACTGTTTAAAATTAATTCATTTAATTTGTCATTTTTTATGGAAGTTCTCATCAAATTAACTTTTAATTTTAATTTTATTAAATTTTATTTGCTAACAAATATTATTTATTTTTTTCTGTGTAATTTAATTTTTTGTAAAAACTATAGAAAATTTATCGCATTTTTTAAGTTTTCTACACAAAATGATAAGGAAAAAAATATATATGATGTGTTTTATATTTTTAAATGAACATGTTTTTGTTTCAATTCCAAACTTCATTTCATTTAGCTTGTTTTTTTTTTTCAATAATGTGTGTGTGTGTGTGTGTGTGTGTGTGTGTGTGTGTGTGTGTGTGTGTGTGTGTGTGTGTGTGTGTGTGTGTGTGTGTGTGTGTGTGTGTGTGTGTGTCGTGTTTTAGATAATTTGTCTCAAAATTTAAAACAAAATCTAAAAAATTAATTGATAACTAAAAGTAAAACGAGAAAAAGAGAGGGAGAGAGAGGAAAGAATTCCTCTACGTGCAAGGTATGCACACGAGAACTAGCAACTTATGACCTAGAACTAGAAATTTGTTTCAAAAAAATATGGAATTCACTTATTTTATCTATACTATATAATAATAAAAAGGATAAATTTTGTATAAATGACATATAGTTTACTACTCCTAATGGTTTCTCATACATAAAAAATGATAATTAAAAATAAACTAGAGATAATTAAAATTCAACCAAACTAAATAATCACTTTAGAAACTAAAACGGTATTATTAAATCTCAAACAAAGAAATCGAGTTTTTATGTGTGTGTACATATAATTAATTAATTAATTAATTAAAAAATTATTGATTTTTTAGCAAAAATTATAGAAAATCGATCATTACTTTTTTAAAAAAAATTTGGCACCAAATGGCAAGAAAAAAATATATGATGTGTTTCATATTTTTAAATGAAAATATAGTTCACATTATAATACTCTTACTATTTAAAATTAATTCATTTAATTTGTCATTTTTTATGGAATTTCTCATCAAATTAACTTTTAATTTTTATTTTTATTAAATTTTATTTACTAACAAAAATGAGTTTATTTTTCTTTGTACAATTTAATTTTTTATAAAAACTATAGAAAATTGATCGCGTTTTTGAAATTTTCAGCACAAAATGATGAGGAAAAAAAAACACATGATGTGTTTTATATTTTTAAATGAACATGTTTTTGTTTCAATTCAAAACTTCATTTCACTTGATTGCTTTTTCTTCAATAATTTATTTGAAATCTTTTTTTTTTTTTACAAAAATTATAGAAAATTTATCTTTTTTTTTTTTAACTTACTACACAAAATGGCAAGAAAGAAATATATAGGATGTGTTTTATATTTTTAAATATGGAAGTTCTCATCCAATTGAATTTAATTTTAATTTTTATTAAATTTTATCTCGTAGACAAACATGATTTATTTTTCCCCGTGCATGAATTTTGGAGTTAAATTTAAAAATGTGATCTTCCGGTCTCTCTTTTTTAAAAAAAAAAAAAGTAAAATAGTTTGTATGATGAATTTTTATAATTTTTAAATGAGACCAATATGTTTATTTGTGTTGGTTCTAATCTATCATTCCGGTCAAAATTTTTGACCAGTTAATCAAAAATTAATTTTCATATTAATAAATATAAATCACTTATATTAAATACTAAAGATAATTTTATCAAATCACAT